TAGCAGCTTGAATATATATATATATATATATAATATATTTATTACATTTTAGAAAATCATAGATAGTACAGAGAAATTTGTATTGCTGTTGAAACTAGTGTGGACGGGAAACAGATTTTTGTTATTAGTTTACTTGCTTGGGGAGAATCAGTTATTGTACAAGCTTTTTTATAAAATATGCACCTCTGAAAGTTAAATACACCACATTAGATCAGAGGCGTCATTTCAGTTTTTATCTTGGGTGTGCGAGATTTCAAGTAGACCATTTTGAAATTTCATTAGGCCATATAAAAATGGACATACCTACTTAAGTAAATTATTCTTCTTTTAATTTTTCCATAGATTATAAATCGCAATCAACATAAGTAGTAAATATAAATTATAATAATACTTACTATTTTTATATTATATAATATAATATAACGTAGTTCGGGTCGTAGCAATTGTTGAATTGTATATTTATCAGTTAATTACCGTTATCAATTATTGCCGTTAACTGCGCGTCAAAAAAGTCGTAATAAAAATAGTTACAAACATCAATGGTTCAGTATGATAAAGTTACTGTTTACTTAATTAATTGATAACAGAATATTTGTTTATTGACCCATGTAACCATGATAATACAGTGTTTTTGAAATTTGAATTGATGTATAAAAAATTGATGCATTTTTTTTACAGGCCAATTGAAACTGTTTTTAAAGTAAGAGTGTAATCGCACACCCTGACCCTCCCCCCAAATGACCCAAATCACTCTGTATTAGGTACCTATGAAAATATTAGTTTGTTTTTTCAAAATTCAACAATTTGCGAGGCTTTGTGTCAGGAAAGAGGGGGTGAAGTTTAATAGATTCCGCTTGTAAAAATGATTACATGATAAGATACAATTTATTTTCATTTGGAGGAAGTAGTAAAATTTTTTTTTTTGGTATATACCCCCCTAAAAATTTCTATCTATACTACTACTATTTGCGATCGAAACACACGAAATAAAATACAAGCTTAAGTAATATTTATTTAAACAATTATATGATATAAATAACTCAATTGTACTATTTTAATTATATTTATACAATATAAATACAAGGATTGCATGCTCGTGTGAGTGATGCGGGCCGATTTATTACAAATCCTTTGTACACAAACATTAAATAAATAAATTTTATCACTAAAAAAAGTTTTAAATAATTCGGTGGCTTATCACTTGAACTTCTAATTCGATGAAACAAATTGAACTTAAAATTAACACAGTCAGTTATTTCGTTTTGTAGGTGATACAAGTTTCAGTAAAGACACAAAAGGTGCTTCGAAGGCAATCGATAGTAAAAATGCAAAAAAGTAGGAAACAACTAACTGTCCCAAAAACATGAGAGTCTGAAATAATGATTAATTGATAAAAATTGAATTTTGATTAATATGCGAAACTAAATATACAAGTAATATTATATTAATAAAAATAGATGATCTATTCTTACCACAGATTCTATTGTCAGATGGAATGGACTGTCACGTTTCATAATTGCGTATCTGATAACTATTGGATGTACTAAATATGCACAATATGTTGTACGACTGAATGGTATTAATACACTACACGATAGCAATTTATTCACATATCCTAAATAAAAAAAAATATATTTATGTATTTAGATTCTTTTAAAAAAAAAGTGATATCTACCTCCATTTCCAGTAGCACAAGCAACAACTACCCAAGCCAAACATAGTGCCCAGAGAGTGTGACTTAACGAAGAATACATTGCAGCTATAATTGGATGCAATTCAACTTGATGAAGGCCAAATATCAGACTAGCGAGAGTGGCCAAAGATACTGCCCAACCCATACATATTGTTAGCTGTAAAAAATAGCAAAATCATA